GGGGCCGCACGGAGGCGCGGCGTGCGGGGTGGTCCCCCGTGTTGATTGTTTCGTGATGGCGGTGGTCGGGGGGGGTGGCCAGTGGTGGGGCCGTCGGGCGCATTTCTAACAAAAATTGTACGGAAAAACAAGCAAAACATTAATCCTTTATCAGTTAATGCTGAAGATGCCAAATATAGTAGCAATTACCAACGCAAATGTTATGTTGATAAAGTCTGGAAACATATTTCTGCTAATTTTCTTTATTTGTAATGTGCAATAGGAAATTAGTTACCCAATGTTGTTCATCCTGCTCCTCCATCCCGCAGTAAAAGCAAAGCCTGCTTAGATCATCTGTTGAGACAAAAAGTAATCAATATCTTCAGATAAACCACATTGCAGATTTGGGGTCAAGTTGACCCATTCCAATTTTTGACTAAAAGGTAAATTATATAAGGACACATTTTTTTGTGCAGGGTGGTCTTTTATTATTTTGTGTGAAGAAAAAAGCAAAACACACACAAACACATAGAGCACATTGAAAGGAGGAAGATGGGGAAACCTCACATCTTAAATAAACCGCCGAATTGAAAGGGTGTGTTTGTAGAGTGTGACGTATATGAAATTGCAGTTCAATATGCCTGCCTGCGATGCTTCATAATATTATCTGTATAGTTTGGAATTGAGATACAATATACTGTATGTAGTGACTATTTACCCTAATCTATACTTAAAGAGCATCTTGCAGGTTTTTATTTTTTCTACATTTATGCTTAAATTTGCTTGAAAATTACAATTAAAAAAGTGAATGCAGGATTTGATATGTTTTACGAGACATAAGGGCAGGAATTCAGAGGGAAAGGAGCAATTTTGAGCTCTGCTCTTAAAAAACGGCTTTTTTTTAAGGTCATGCGTCAAACGCGTCATATTACATCACGCAGGGGACACATCTCCGCTCTCTGACCGCGGGTATAGTAGAGTTTCGTTGAGTAGAGCGGTTGTGTTTTAAGGAGCTGGTATTTTTCGGTAGTTTTACATTGTATTTCACCATTTGTAATCATGGTGCAGTATTGTGTTTGTGCAGGTTGCACAAATACCAGCCTGTCAGGACATCGAGTCCACAGTAAAAAGGACCGGAGCTAGCGTTCGTTCCTGGGTGCATTGTGCATCCACCTCCCTGCAGCACATACTCTCCACAGCTTTATCAGGAAACCGTATTACTTCTGTCTTCCCCCCCCCCCTTCGCTGCTCTCTCTCTCTATCCCCTCCGGTACACGGCACCGTAAGACGTAGTGTGGGAGTTGCATTAGGTAACGCTGTGGTGGCTGTACTGCTCCAGCCGTCTCCTTTGTGTTTGTTTGTTTCCCCCTGTCTGTGTTGTTTGTGTGTGCGTGGTGGCTGTCACTCCTGGCTCCCGGCTCAACCTCCACTCACCTGCTGCAATCAGCTGTGCACCCTCCCCGACTACACACCTGCTTTCAGAGGCGCGGGAAGGTATTTTGAGTGGGGGTGCTGAGGTGCTGGACTCCAGTGAACACCGCATTGACGCGTCGTAAAGCCCGGAAATAAGTTAGCATTTTTAGCACTTCCGGTTCCTTCCTCAAAAAGCAATGCATTTTTT